ATTATCTGGACAATGTAATGCTCCCATAGAAACATACATAGTGTGTTTGTTTGATATGGACATCCATCCACATATTATGTATGAATGGATATTTATATGTATGTATGTTTATATAAAATATGGAGAAGACAATGATGCTGGGGAAAATGGAAGGAAAAAGGCAGAGGGGCCGACCAAGAGTAAGATGGATGGATGGTATCCTTGGAGTGACTGGCTTGGCTTTGAAGGAGCTGGGGGTGGCCACGGCTGACAGGGAGCTCTGGCGTGGGCTGGTCCATGAGGTCACGAATGAATAAACAACATAAAGTATGGCTGCCTCGTGAACATGGTAGGATTTTTCTTAGGCCAGGGACACTCAGAAGTAGTTTTGCCAGTTCCTTCCTCTGAAAGAGAGCCTAGAGCATTTGGAGATTCATTGGCAGGCTCCCATCCAAGTACTCAACGGGAAGCCATGAAGTCTTTATGAAGTTCCAGTTATATGAGGGTCTTAATCATAGAATCATAGAATCAAAGAGTTGGAAGATACCTCACGGGCCGTCCAGTCCAACCACCTGCCAAGAAGCAGGAATATTGCATTCAAATCACCCCTGACAGATGGCCATCCAGCCTCTGTTTAAAAGCTTCCAAAGAAGGAGCCTCCACCACACTCCGGGGCAGAGAGTTCCACTGCTGAACGGCTCTCACAGTCAGGAAGTTCTTCCTCATGTTCAGATGGAATCTCCTTAATATTACAGTATACAACACAATTTTTGTTCCTAGGTTATAAATGTAATTTTCTAATTGGTTCTATCATAAAAATATAGAAAAAGTTTATTGAATTGCAAAAACTTGGTTTTTGCAGGACGTGCTGCAGCACATTTTGCTCTAGTTTTTCAATAAATATCTCAGAAAGTCTCAACCAATTCAACACAGTTTGTGACAGCCACTGAAACTTTCAAAGTGAGTACCACATGATTAAATAGGAAATAATACTTTTAAACCAGGAACAGAAACTTTTTAAAACTTCAATGTGTAATAGTGGGTTTGAAAGCAGCCTACGTGTTAAATGACTTCTTGGTTTGGTCGTGTTTTGACCCAAATGAAAAGCTTGCAATGTAACCACCTCTTTTGGTTCCGCCATTTACAGAGATACTCACCTGGCGCTTCTTTTGGCTTCTCAGTATTTAACTTAATGAACGCCATCATGGGCAGCGGGATCCTTGGATTGGCATATGCTATGGCCAAGACAGGAATCATCGGGTTTAGGTATGTTTTTTGGTCTCAGTTACACTGTTTATTACCCTGAGAAACTTTGTGCTTAATATAGTTTGTCCACAAAAATGTATACACTGTTAACATTTTAAATTACATTTACCCCAAAAAAGATCATAATAGTAGAAAAGTATTATGAAATTACAATGGGAACTTAATTACACTAATACTTGTGTCAGGAATGGGGATTTTTCTTAATGTATAATTCGAAATACCGGTATATTTTCAAAACAGGATTGGGGAATAATGAGAAACATTAGCACATTGGGGAGAGTTTTGTGATCATTTTTTTACTTTAAAAAAAAGCTCTCTATTAAAGTAGTGTTCCCTTACTTATTGTGGGTGTTATGTTCCAGACCACCCGCAATAAGCGAAATTTCGCAAAGTAGGGACGAGGAAGAGGAAAGGAGGGGGAGCCAGGCTCTGGGCCTTAGCCTGGGGCTTGTCTCTGGGCTGGGTCTCAGCACGGCCCTCTTCGGTGAAGGCGGTCTCCTCCTCCCCACCACCTCCACTACTCCCTGCTCCTTCCTCGGAGAAGGCTCCACCTCCTCTTCCTCCTCGGAGGCACCTTGGGCGCCGTTGACACCACTTCCAGGGTGGGCTGAGACCTGGTCTTCTGCACTCCACAGTGGTGTCAATGGCACCCAACTAAAACAAGAAATAGTTTTCTAAGATCTACAGAGACACTCGCTGGAACACCTCAGCAAGCGAGAGTCCAAAAGTGGCAGGCTCAAACACAGAACCTCAATCAATGGCTGATACCAAATGAGAGACTCCCCCCTGGGCACACAGAAAACAGGGCGACTTGGAAGGTGCTGAACAGACTGTGCTCTGGCACCACAAGATGCAGAGCCAACCTTAAGAAATGGGGCTACAAAGTAGAATCCACGACATGCGAATGTGGAGAAGAGCAAACCACAGACCACCTACTGCAATGCAACCTGAGCCCTACCACATGCACAATGGAAGACCTGTATTGTCGAAGACTTTCATGGCCGGAATCACTGGGCTGTTGTCGGTTTTTTCGGGCTATATGGCCATGTTCTAGAGGCATCCTCTCCTGACTTTTCGCCTGCATCTATGGCAAGCATCCTCAGGGGATGCCATAGATGCAGGCGAAACGTCCGGAGAGAATGCCTCTAGAACATGGTCATATAGCCCGAAAAAACCTACAACAACCCAATGGAGGACCTTCTTTTATCAACACCAGAGGCACTCCAGGTGGCCAGCTACTGGTCAAAGGACATTTAATAGAATACCAAGTCTGCAAATTTGTGTGTTGTGTTTGTTTGTTTGTCTGTTTTTAATGCAATACAACTGGTTTGGTTCGCTCCTGACATGATAAATAAATAAACGGGCCTCTGAGAAAGAGGAGGAGAAGGGAGGAGCCTTGCCGCGGCCCGCTTTGGCGGCGGCCTCCTCCTTGCCATCTCCGCTGCTCCGCGCTCCCTCCTCAGATGCCCCCAGGCAGGAACAAGCCAGACCTATAAGCTGTCAGGCCATCAAATGCTAATCAAGGTGGCCAATTGCAACATTCACACCTAGCTCCAACAGGCAAGAGTTATTTCTCCCACCCTGGACTTTAAACAGATATATATAACCCAATTTTCATAGTTTCCAACAGACCTCACAACCTCCGAGGATGCCTGACTTAGATGCAGGTGAAATGTCAGGAAAGAATGTTTCTAGAACATGGCCATACGGCCTGAAAAACCTACAACAATGCAGTGACCGGTTTTGATTAGTGGCAGCGATACCCAGCAGACGCTTCGAGGTCCGGTCGTCTGTGTTAAACTCTGCCTGCAAAATGCTCCAAATTCAATCCTCCTTCTCTTGGATTCTGGTTACTAAAACTTCAAAGGAAAAGATCTGTTGAAATGGTAAAATACGTTGTTTAGTTATACCCATGCATTACTGTTAGTCTGCGTTGAGGAAATTTATGTTTTGATGTTTTCATGACTCATTCTATTGCATTAGTGATTCATACTGATAATGTTTAGTTTTAACAGTTGGAAACAGATCCTGGGATTACAAGTAAATCAGCCAGTTTGCTTTTGCTTTGTTCACAGGAAGAAAGAAGATCAAATAGCTGGCTGGCGTTTACCAGAGCTTACATTTTGACCATTGTCAAAGGCCATTATTTTTCTGATGTTCTGCATGTGTATCATGACGGGATCTAATTTTATCATATGGGAAATGTCGTAGAAAAGTAGAACATGGGAAACACTGAATAATCTTCCATGGTGTGAATCATATTTTGCCAGTATAGACTTTCAAATGAGGAAATATGTCTTGTGATTTGTTTGTTGGAAAACACAACTTTCAGTTCTCCATTTCTCCGGAGAATTTCATACTAGAATGTGGCTCTGACCCTTTGTCTTTTCCTTCCCAGTGTGTTGCTGCTGCTTGTCGCCATTCTTGCATCTTACTCCATATTCCTGTTGCTTACTATGTGCATTCACACTGGTAAGTGAAAGCAGCTTAAACTGCTAAAGTATAGATTTCCAAACATTTCCTGTTGGTGACACCCTTTTGGACATGCGTCATTTTACGACACGGTAATTCAGTTTTACTAGCAAACTGGAGTTTCAACCAACTCCTTATATAACAATTGCAAACACATTCATAAATTGTAATAGCTAAATATATGGAGGCACAACATATCTCATGAAAGCCTTTCAATTATATTTTGAAAAAATGTATGATTTATAACAGGGGTCCTCAAACTTTTTAAACAGAGGGCAAGGTCACAATCCCTCAAACTGTTGGAGTGCCAGATTATAATTTGAAAAAAACATGAAAGAATTTCAATGCACACTGCACATATCTTTTTTATAGTGCAAAACACCTAAAACAATACAATAATTAAAATGAAGAACAATTTTAACAAATATAAACTTATTAGTATTGCAGTGGGAAGT